CAATGCAATTGGCAGGCATTTTGCGATTCTTTGTTCGTGTGAATACATTTCAGTCAACTTGGAAGTGCCTTCTACTGCTAGATACTTCCTGAGTAGTTACTACAAAATATTCTGTGTATTTTTGTGGCTATGCAATGATTCAGCCTGAAACAGCTTAATGCATTTCTCTTGTAACCTAATGCTGGCAACTTCATCGAGGGTATTAAGACCCAAATCCAATCTCGAGTCAGGTCAGTTAGTCCTTCTGTTCACTTCTGCAGCCAGCTTTTAGTTATAATCTACTAGTTTTGTTCTTTTTCTGCCACTTCTATTTTGGTGTAAAGATTAAGACATTTAGAAACTGGCTTTGTTTGACTTATCCCAGGCATCTTATGCATGCGTCTAAGCGCTGTTTTATCTTTTCAGCTGGGCCCATTGCAAAGTACAAGAGATGTTTGATTTTGTTGGGGTTTTTTAGGTTAGTGGTGATATTTGTTGGATTTTTTTTTTTCTTTTAATTATTACTATGTTTTTTGCTTCTGGGGCCGTGTTGAATGGTGGCAGGTGAGTTCTCATTGGGAAGTGAACGATGGATAGGTAGGCCTTTATTCAGTAAACAGTAAGTTTTGCCTGTTTGACCAAATAACTTTAGAATTACACTTTGTAGAGGAAGAATTCAGTCAACAGTGGTGGCAGCCTCTTCCACCTTCTGGATGACTGGGAGGAGCTCATTTCCTCTGCTGCACTTGGAGGTTTATTGCTGTTAATTCACTGTGTGTTGGGTGATTGGTCACCTGGATGTGGAGGGAGCTTTCGACTCCAGGCTTGATGGCTTGCACTGTGCACCCCCACCCAGCTCCCAGGAGGCCTGTCTTTCCATACAAATAGTCCCTTCAGGATACATCACAAAAGAGTTCATGAGGTTTCTTTCATGCAAAGAGCAGATAATTTGCAAGAATACTTGCAGTGTGCAGAAATGCATCTAAGAATGGTTGTTGCAAATGTAAGACTTCTGTGGATGTAATTAGTCTATTTTACGTTTTTCTTCGAACTATAGCCAGAGAAATGGCAGTTCCCTGTGACTTCTGTGCAAGCTGAGGGTGGTCAATGAGGATGCTCAAATTTTTCATCATTTCACCTGTTCCTTCAGTGTAGAACCTCCCTCTTTACCTTGGGCTCTGTGTCTGCTGACTGCAACAAGAACAGATCAGCCAATGTGAACATCTGGACAAGGCTGCCTTCCTATTTACACACTGCACTAATGCGAACTTCTGTTAGGTTTTTATTCTTCTCTGGCTGCTTAGCTCAAGTTTAAGATTAATGATTTAGGTAGTTAAGTGACTGACAAATGCCATATTCTATCCACAATATGTAACAATGTAACAATGGTGTATCTGTAATGGCAATTGCTAGAAAGTAAATACAAGCTCACAGTACCACAGTGATGCCATCTTTTGAGACTGTTGCTTCTAGTAATACTAGTAGATAAAGACCCACATATTTATGTAATATCCATAACTTGAATTTTAGAGTGATTTCTAAGGAAAAATAATATTCTTGGATTCTAAAACTGTTGCTTTTTAAATGTATTGAATGTGCTGTCAGTCATAGAGACATTTATTTATAATCTAATATCCCTTAGTTTTGCTTTGGACTTCCTTGGCTATGTTCACCTACCTGTTATCCAATATGCAGACTGAAGAAAGATGTCTTGCAACCCAAGAATTTTTCTGTAATGCAACTTCAGGATAGGAAACAGGTGGATACAGACAGAGAAGGGAGTACAGGGAAGCAGAGATGATACTGAGCAGCACAGTAAGCAGTGCAGTCAGTGGGTCAGGTGTGGCATCAGATGGTCCCAACATGTGCATCTCTTGCAAGTCACCAGAGAGACATTTCCAAAGCACTAGTGGGGAACGTCATCGAATATGCAGAGAATAAATTGCCACTGGATACAGTCAAGGACAGTGCAGTGATCGAGCCTTGCTTTCCTTCTGACTGACCTGAAGTCATGCAGAGTTAACAATGCAACAGCAAAGATGTTCGGCTCAGACTCTTCCTCAGACCTGGCTCTTCTAGCAGTTCTTCCCTTCGGTGCTCAACACAGAGCCTATATCGTCCCATCTCGTTCCCAAGTCACCTGTCTTTGGTGAGCCACATGCCCTGGGGAGTCACAGGCCCTGCTGAGCATCATAAGCAACTGAATCCAAATTGACTGGTGGGACAGAAGCAGGGGGTAGGGTAGAGGAAGAATTAGGTCTCCTGGGTAAATTACTGCCAGCCCATGACAGCACAAGAAAATGCTGTACAGTTACCGGAGTATGACACATTCATTGAGTACCACTTAATAGAAGCAGAACCAGGAGCAGGAAGATTTATACAGCAGCTGTTGCTTGGGAGCCAGATGCCTTCTGCATACAGGGTTGAATTTGGGAGCAGAGCTCTGAAAAGAGCTTGTTAAGGAAAGCAAGAGCAGCTAAATGCTTTTGTCATCCACTGGCTTCCTCTCTATCAGCTACAGCAGTGGAAAGCACTGTCAGTGTAAAGGGGCAGAGGCAGCTGCTTTGCACTTTACACCAGTATGGGTGGCTTTGTGGGTGCAAGGCAGGAACAAGGTGGACCATGGACTTGGGCCAAATCCTTCATGCTGGCTTGCAGGGTTGCATCAACCAGACAAGACTAATTTTATGCTTCAGAGAGTGCAGAGTTGCTAAATACCTGCCAGGAGTCCTAGTGTAGGACTATGCTCTTCTCGTCCTCCTTGTAAAACAACTCAAAGTACTGCCTGGTCCTTTTGGGACAAGAGGTAGGGGAAGGTGCTTCCCATGCTGCTAATTCATATGAGACCCCAAATTTCCTGGCCTTACTCTTCACAGTAACCAATAGAACAAATCCAGCAGGATCGTTCCCACATCTCCATGAGTGCTTTACCATAAATCAACTGTCTAGCTGACATATGTATCCTCTTTGATTACCTTAAGGTTGCTAATAAGATCAGTTGTTGCTTACAGAGTGGCATATTCATTATGGATTAGCTGTCCTTCATATCTTCTGTCATTGTATCATATACTGCAACAGGCAACTGCAAAAGCCACTTGGTTACAGGCAGTTTGGACCCCTGTCCTCTAAAACTGGCTAGGATAGTTTGGCAGCAAGCAGGATGGTGGGCCAGGAAACTCCGCATTTTTCTTGCAAGGAGGGGCAGGTCCTTTGCATGAAGCCAGCATCTAGGTACCCTGTCAGGGCACTTCTGTCTTGGTGTAATCTGTCCCTGCCTGCACTAGATGAGATTACATCCCCCCCACCCTGCCCCAGTCCTAGCTTACACAATGCTGGTGCTGCCAAGTATGTCAGGGTTCCTCTCAGATCCCTCAACAGTCCCCTGCATTTTGGGACAAGCAGTGATGCCTTGTACAAGCTGCCGTTCCAGTCCCAACTGCTGGTTTTGCTTAGCTGGTGACAGTTCTCAGTCATGGTAGCTAATGAATGGGAAATGTTTTGGCTTTTTCACAATGCATACTTTAACTTTTTGCACTGCACTTGACTTAGATAATGAGGCTCATCTGGGTAGTTGCTAGACCAGGCAATTAAACTTAGGGTTTAATTCGGAAATTTGCATTTTAAAAATCACATGCAAGGTCCAAAAATCCATCCCAAGGCACAGGGACAGAACTAGACATCAGAGGGATGTAAACAGCCAGGAGGACAGCACGGGGAAGCAATGCTGGCTAAGAAGTGGGTTGTCCCTAGGACAGGGGTGGAATGATTTCACCTGACTTTCCCATCTGCAGTGTTGGTGTTTGTAATACCGCAGGGTAGACCATTGCAGTTCGTGGAGAGAAATACGTGCTTTTTGGTACAGTTCTTCTCATCTTGTGATCTGGATGTTTAAGACAGGTCTGATGGAAATAACGATCTAGATTATTTTTTTTTCTTCATTAACTACCAAGGTCTAGATGGCAAGCTCAGACATCAATCTGAAGTCAGAAGAGAGATGTGTCACCCTGGTGTTGGGCTTTTTAGTAATTTTTGTTGGGAATTGCAATAAATGAGAATTTCAAGGAAAGATTTGAGAGCAGTGAGGTAGTTTAACAGATATTCCTTCAACACACGGGGACAAATTTGCCAAAATGTACAAACATGTTACTTGGATAATTTGAGGGGCTGATAAGGGGTTTTGACATGGGAATATGTTGTAAAGACATATAGAAATAAAGAAAAGTTTTGACATGGGAATATGCTGTAAAGACATAAAGAAATAAAGAAAAGTTTGTCTGCAGTTTGAGAGCTGTGCTACAAACAACTGTAAGAATGGTCTTGATGGTTCATTTGCTTCTCTGCTGCACAATCTCTCTAGCCATTGGATATTGTCCCTCTTCAGGATTTTTTTTTTTTTTTTTTTTTCACCCACCGGGAGAGTCTGGCACATCTCCGCACATTTCAGTGTGTTGTTTAGAAGAGCTTTTAGTGTCGTGGCACTGTAAGTTCTACAGTGGCCGTTGTTCAGGCCTTCTCCTCTCCTGTCAGCATCCATTTGCCCAGGGTGTTGGACCTGTGGTTTGGTCAAATTCTGCCTCTACTAGCAGAGCGGTACCTTGCTGTTCAGGGTGGGCCTGTTGGTTGCTGAAGAAGACACTGAACATAATTCACAGCAGGAAAATCAGACCATAGATACCCATTTTAGTTTAACTGTGGCATGTTACAGCACAAACTCCCTCTTAGACAAACATCCAAGAACTGACTGAAGGGCTCACTAGCAGATGAATGAGGCTACAAAAATTCACTCTGCTCATATAGATAGTTTCATTAAAGAATTCACACAAGACGTTCCTGCAGCTGTAGAGCAGAGGCCTGCTGAGCCAATTTAGGTAGGTTTTGACTAAAACATGTCTCTGATTTACAGCAACAGCTTGGTGCAACAGTAAGTGCTTCATAAAGCCATGCCTGTCATCACCTTCTGCTAACATCATTTCCACTGATTGCAGATCTTTGTAACAAAATGTTCTTCCTGGTTTGCTTAGGGTGAAGAAACTGAAGGAAACATTTGCTTTTATACAACTATTGGACAAAAACATGAGTAACCTTCGCACCTGGTTGGCCCGGATTGAGTCTGAGCTTTCCAAGCCTGTTGTTTATGACATCTGTGATGACCAAGAAATCCAGAAGAGACTGGCAGAACAGCAGGTGGGAAATAGCAGCAACCAGAGTAAATGAGCTAAAATGCTGCTGATTACAATTGGTCCTGGTTTAAAATCACCTGTTTCTTTTCTTTAGCAAGACCTGCCTTTTCACAGCATGTTCCTGCCAAGATGCGTTACATGGAAAATTTTTATTTGCTTGCTGTAATTTCAGTATTGTGTTGACTTACCCCCGCTTCTCCCTTCCCCCCTCTACCCAAGGAAAACATGCAAAATACAAAAAAAACATTTTTACACTTGATAGTTTGCTCAGTTAAGTACAGCAGACTTCATAAGGGCTAGGCAGGGCACAGACAGTGAACAAAATCCATGAGGATGACTTAGGCTGACAAGGCGTGAATGCTGGGTCTCCTGCAAACTGGCTGTGACAGATTTAAGTGCTGTGATTTTATGTATTTCCCTCACTAGCTCAGTTCTCTTCCCCTCCTTGCAGACAGCAGAGCAAGCTTGGGAGAGAAGGATGTTTGGGCTTTGGAGGGTGGACTTGTGCAAACATACCTTTGACTGAGGCCTGATCCAGTAGGCAGGCTCTGAAGATCCCCTCAGGGTTGGGTGAGATGGTGCGTGAATCCTGCTGAGGCATAAATGTGAACCAACCTAGCACCGTTGGGTATTGATTGAGTGCATGTAGGCATTTACCCGAGACAGTGGCTTACCAGGGGGATCTTAAGGATCTATGCTAGTTTTAAGTGGTGGAGATGGCAAGGACTGAGCACAGCTGAACGTGCCAGCTATCCCAGCCAAGTGGAAGTATGAGATGAGTTGGATAGTCCTGGAGTAAATTTCTCTCTCCAGCAGCCAGGGAAGGAAAAGGAACTTCTCCAAAGCACAGACTTGCTGGGGGAGTCAGCCTTTGCTCAGGGCTGTGCTATAAGTCTGCCGAAGTTCAAAGTGCCTCCCTGGGAAGGCTGAGAATGACCATGGCTGTCATTTGGCCTTTGTGTTAAAGAAGAATATTTGCTTTAAAACTGAGAATCAAGAATAAAGCTGTCAAGCATGGAAGCTTTATAGCATTGCCTTTAAGAACACCTGTGGGTGTTCTTCCCATTCTTCCCACCTTCTCTCTCTCTGGCTGCTGCTTCTGTGTCTAAGGAAAGATCCCTGAGTGACCCAGATCTGAGGGCTGTGTTCTCTGCTGGTTGATACAGCTCTCCATCCATTCATGTGCCAGACATCGCGGGAAGGGCCAGCTCATCTGCAACAGGAGTGGAGATGGCTCCCACTGACTCCACTGCAAGAGTTGGTCAAACACCAGAAGCCTTGGCCCAGTGCCTCTGATGGTTTTATCTGCATTGTGAATGGTCATGTAAACAACAAGGAAATATTTTCTCCCCATCCAAACCTTTTTCATTCTCAAAGGCTGTGATAAATTGCCAGGCAGAACGTGGGGCACACAGGAATTGTGTCCAAACTAATTTATTTTTATTATGAGCATTCAAGCTTCAGCTTGCTGTAAGAGCCATCATTTGCTGCTCAGAGCTACTTACTGCTTTGTTGTTTGGATTCTGTTTCAAACACAGACCTCTGGGCACCTCTAGACTCCTTCTACTATAACCTTGTAGCAGGTTGAGTGTGAGAAGACTGTGCTGACTAAAAAGACCACAGTGAAAAAAAAAAAAAAAATGCCTCTTTTGTGCTGCATTAGAGAAACCTTTATTTGAATGCGACAAGTAAAAAGATCTTTCCTGGTTTCATTCAAACAATTATTTCAGCAAGAGCAGAGTGATGGTAAGAAATATGCCTTACAGGCTTCTTTTATTTGACATCTGTGACTGGAAAAGCTTTACCTGTTCAGTCTTGAATAATGACATTTAAAAGCATTGTGCATCCACAGAGATGTTTTATGGCATGTTTGTTCAATTAAAGGATGAAGATTAAAACATGAATAATATTAATTTTAAGATTTCAAAGCTGTTTCACTAATGCAGAAGTCTAGCAGTGTGTAGTCTTTTTAAGCTCTCTGGGCAATGCTGTGCAGAGCTGAAGGAAAAGTACCTTTTTGGGCTCAATGTATGTTCCTGGCCCCATTAGTTTGTTTGTTGTCCTTGTCTTACTGTAATACAGTCAGGTCATTTGGAATAACAGCTTGGAAAACAGCAAGGATTCTGCCTATTCCATGAACCCAGGCATGACCAAAAGTAATGAGATCGTGTAGCAACATTACCATAATGCAAGTAGAGTGGATTTGTAATCTGTGGTCCAAAGTCTCATTTTCACTAATACAGCTGTAAATCCAGTGTAATTTAATGAATTCAGAAGAGTCTCTCCAGGTGCCAGTAGTGGGTAGAGCCTGCTCTCAGACATAGAGCCTGTGTTAAAAAGGCACTGCTGCCTCTTGCTCAGAAAACAGCTGTGAATCCTTAATAAGCTGTCAAAAATTATGTTGGGTCTGCTTCTGGCAGTCTCTCATCTATGTAAAGATTTTGGCTTCTACATTCCTTAAAGCTGTACATTACCACAAACCCCACAAACCAAATTTTGACCATTTGTGGCTCAGCCCTTTCAGGTACCCTTGTAACACCACTGAAGACTGCCACTGGGTGATACTCAACTCCTGCAGCTTGCTGGCTTCTGGGAAGATCTTCCTTCAACTCCTTTTGTATTTACTACCAGCTGTATCTGTTTTGGGGGTTTTTTTGTTTGTTTTATTTTCTTTTGGTTTTGTTAAGTCTAGAGCAAAACCAATTCTGCTTCATCTGTTCACTGAAATCAGTAATACCGTTTAATGGGAGTTCCTGTTCACTGTTGTCAGTAAAATATTCATTTGTGTTTGTTGTTCTAGTGTTATTCAAGCAAAAGTCTCCATATCCTTCATTAGGAAAGCCAGAAATTGGTTGAAAAAATAGAAATGTAGTGGATGTTGCCATTTCATTAATGTTTACAGTTGGTAGCATTGTACAGAGCTGCCTTTTCAATCAGAAATATTTAGATAAGGCTTTCTTTTTCTGTTATTCAATTACATTGACTTTAGGAGTGGTTATAGATACAGAATGAGAGGCCAGACTATGATGGAGATGCAGGCTCTGGAGGAGAAACCTGTGGTGTAGATTAGACAAATGGTGTTTGCCAGACCCTTTAAAATAGTCTGTCAAAACAGGAGCTCTGCAAGAGGGAATAAGAAAAGTAGCGTAACACCAGCTACTTGTGTGCCATGTTTCTGTGTTTCGTGATATCAGCCTGTGATCATATAGTCACTAAAGTACATGAACTGTACTATGAATTCTCTGTCAAGTCTTACAGTGTAGTAAGCTGATATGAGACACTGTCATCTTGTAGTGTCAAAATTAAGTAGTATGTGTTTACGATACATGTAAGGTTTGGATTTTGAATGCACATTAAAATTGTCCAGACTGTTAATGAGAAGATTGAGCTTTCACTGAGAAACCAAAGCTAGGCACTCCCTTCTTGCATGGCAGTTCTGTCCTGACCTGTCAGCCTGTCATCTACACAGCTCATCCTGCAAGTCTGTTTTCTAAAGCTAAATAAGCTTTTCCTGACATACAAATTGCTTTTTCCCCATCCTCTGCAGCATTTTGAAAGGGTATGTCTGAAGCCTAGCCATGTATGTTTCCTTCTACTCAAGATACTCTTTTGCCAATGGCAGGATCTGCAACGAGACATAGAGCAACACACGGCAGGGGTGGAATCCGTGTTTAATATTTGTGAAGTCCTGCTGCACGACTCAGATGCATGTGCTAATGAGACAGAGTGTGATTCCATCCAGCAAACTACCAGGAGTTTGGACAGACGGTGGAGAAACATTTGCGCCATGTCTATGGAAAGGCGAATGAAGTAAGTCTCTTCTTCTTACCCCTACTAAAGAAGCCTGTAGCAGCATTTTGAAGAAATGTAGCTTTTGCCACAAGCTGAATTTTGAAAAAGAAAAAAATCCAAAATTAATAGTTAGCTTGTGATAAAACCTTTCCATTTTTGCATCTCCCTCTCAGAATCGAGGAAACCTGGCGCCTATGGCAGAGGTTTTTGGACGACTATTCTCGCTTTGAAGATTGGCTAAAACATTCTGAAAGGATAGCAGCTAAGCCTAATTCTTCAGAGGTTTTGTACACACATGCAAAGGAGGAGCTGAAGAAATTTGAGGTGAATTTTTTAACTTCATTTTTTTATGCTCAGCAGCAGGCTGAATGGTCAGACCACTAAATAATTTTTGTCTGTGTGAAATGCCTGGATCACTGAAAAACACCAGTTGGGCAGTGGTGGGATAGAGAACATAAATAATTTGGCCAGTGTGTGGCTGCTAGGTATCTGGCTGATTTATTTGTCTCCAGATTTTTTTTTAATGTGGAGAATCCAATGCTCTGAGCTGACAAGATCCTGCTTATAAGTTAAAGATTTGCTTTTTATAGGCAGGAGACCTTTGTGGGTTGATTTACCCCCCCACCCACTTCCTTTTCTTAATGAGCTAAGTCTGAGCAGATGATTTAAAATATGGGTCCTTCTCTGGATTTAATTTTGCAGTTGGAAGGTCTGTTTTTAAGGGGAGGGCACCATCATCTCTCTTGATGGATAGTATCATCCGGATCCTTTCTCTTATCGGCAAGGGAACTGAGTTCCTTGATTTGCTTTGCAGGCATTCCAACGGCAAATTCATGAACGACTCACTCAGTTGGAGCTGATCAATAAGCAGTACAGGCGTCTCGCCCGCGAGAACCGCACCGACTCGGCCAGCAAGTTGAAGCAGATGGTACATGAAGGCAACCAGCGCTGGGATAATCTCCAGAAACGAGTCGCTGCCATTCTGAGGAGACTTAAGGTAATTGCACGATGGGGTGAGAGAGTGAGGAGCACTTGCATACCCAAGGGCAAAACACATACTGGAGCAACTCTCTTGTATTGGTTTGTGTCTTGAGTTACCAGTGTAGGAGAGCAGCTCTGGAAAGCTCACCAAGTACATGGCATAAACATGTCTTTGGTAGATGGGTTCTTGGTAGTTGAAGAAGCATAAGGGAAGAATGGGTGTAAATTTTGGAAAGTGTGTTCAGGCCTTACTGCTCCTATCCCACTCTCCTGTTATCCGGTCTTGTCATGGGTGGATGCGTTCATGCACTTGCACCTTTCCATAAATAAGAGGCAGAGAGAAAAAAGGGCCCCAGTGCAGATATGGTTTGGAGTTTACAACGCAGCTCTACTTTATGCCAAGTTATGATTCACCTACAAGGCTTTAAACATGGAGATGTGATGGAGAGGCATGCTGCTGTCGCCAGCTCCTGCTCTGCTCTCTGTCTGATGGAGGAATGTTGTCGAAACGTGTATTTGTGACACTTCAAAGAAGTGTCCTGCTTGTCGAGTTAAACTGATCTCTGGGCAGATATTCTGTGCTGTGCCCTGGGGAAAACTTGTCACTGCCTGATTTTTAAATACAGCAGTGCTGCAAGCAATTGACAGGGAAAACTATTAGATCCCAAACGTCAGTGGATGAGGCTGTGAGAGCACTGATGGGGTTTGATCTGTGCAGTTAGGAGGTGTTGTGTTTGGGACGTTATATAATCCCCTTCCTGAACAGTAAATCCACTGAGGAGAACTGGGGCACTGCAAGCTGCATGTCTGTTAGCAGCTTCTGTGGGGGATGGCAGCAGAGAGAGCTCCTCCTGGCTTCCACGCCAAATGATGCATTAATTTTACGGGTGTGGTCATCCATGATCCAGCTTCTCCATTGTTTTAGTGATTTTAATGTCATAGTTTTAATTTACTTCAATTAGAGATGGGGCTTGCTTCCTTTGTCTGTCTGTCTTCTAAATTTAGAACAAATTAGATGTCAAACCTGAGTCCGAATAACTGTTACATTGGTATAATGATGTGGGAGAAAGTATAATCATAGAATCATAAAGTCATTAAGGTTGGAAAAGACCTCTAAG